TCCCAGGACGCACCTCAGCCTTCTGATTCAATCTATTTAGAAACAAGCATGAAAGTGCAGCCAGTGGGCATAATCAGATCAATTCCAAAGGGCAAGAAGGAAAGAAACGGCAGACTAACACTATACTATCACTATCAGAAGAGGACAGATTCTACCTAATACCTAAATCTAGAACACACTAAAGGAGCAAAAGAGAGCCTGTGCTTCTGCATATGAAAGGAACATCAGTTCTGTCAAATATCACAAGACCTTGAGAATGCTGGGGTGAGCAGAAAGTGCAGAAACATGTTGTGACCGCTTTAAATAACTTCAGCGTGGCAACAAGTAGGTGACACTCATGCCTGAGACAAACACATTCTGTGTCATCTGACACACTTACGCAACAGCTGGCACATGACTGCGCAATGTATATACTGTGTACGACTTGCTATTCTTCAAAGCTGCACTGCACCTTATTTGGGTCATTTTTACAGAATTGTTTTTTTTTTAAATGCTACAATAAAATCCTGTCAATCGGCTTACTGTAAGTTTTACCACCTGTATTATTGTTGTGGTTATCAGTACATTTTACGGTAAAAAGCAGATTTTGGTACTTCAAGCAGATTGCTAAATTAATATTCTATACAATTATTAAGTTGTAAAATATACAGGCACCAATATGCCATGCCTTAACAACTAAAATAGCATTACAGTCAGTTTTTTTTAAATTAATTTAACGAGTTTTTTTGTTTTGTTTACAGTGCTAATAAATAAAATCATGTAAATAACAGTGGTCAAACGATATAGATTTTTTGTTTTATTTAATCTTTCAAATTTTTTTTTTTTTCATTATTTTGATTGATTTATTAGATTTATTTTATAACATATTCATATGTTTATTAAATAAATAAAGACTTGCTTAAATGATATAAATGTGCATTTGCTGAATCCCGACAGAAGATGAGAAAGTATTGAAGCATTTCCCTTTCTATTACTAATAATAGAAATGCGAACGCTACAATACTTTTTTGTATACCATTTACGTTTCTTTAACAGTTCTGTCTAATAATTTCAATTTCGCTGATGTTTTTGATGCTGTCAAAATAAAATCACGCACACTGTCATACTGCTTTGGCAATATATCTGTCAACCACTAGTAAATTACAAATAAAAGTGTTCTAATTTGTTAAAACGCTTACACTGAGGTCATTGTGAGGCTCCTCTTGACCAGAGGGACTGGAGTTGTTACTGAGCTTGTAGAGCCAGTACTGTTTGGCTGTGATGAACACATTCCAGGGCAGCAGAGAGCCGATGCCCATCAGAAAGAAGATGATGTACACCAGATTGTAAGAGTCCTCCGGGCAGTGATGAGCCGCCAGGGACCCTGCCGGCTGCTGTCGGGAAAGCAATGGTGAAGTGTCGTCCCCAGATGCCTCACCCTCTGAATGCTCTTCATCACACATGGAGGAGATGGTGGTGGGAATGTAAGAGGAGTTCACGCTGGCCTGTAGAGACTGCTGACCATCCATTCTCAAAGAGACGGGACGGAGGGAGGGGAATGGATATGTGAGGGTGACCAGGAGAAACTAATGCTGGAGGAGAGAGACAAAGAATCACTGGAAATGATCAATAATAAAAAATTGAAGTTGCAAAATGCAATAACAAATGCATTCAGAGGTGGATACCTAATGATTGGGAGGTAATTACACCAAATCATTTGGATAACAAACTTTGCCTCAGGCATTTCAGAATGGCATGATATTGGTCTGCCGTTTAGTCCAGTTATGCACACAATGGTTTAAAAAGTAACAGCACGCCTCACCTTCACAAGTCACATGATTTAACGTATCATACATGTTCGTGCTTCCCTTGGCAAGCGCCACTAACAAAGAGGAAGGAATTTCAAAGATCTAGAAACCACTTCAGTAAAACACAGACAACTCGTGAAAAACAGTATTCAAACTCACTAGAATGTTGTGAGATTATCGCCTTTCTGCTCTTAAAATCTGTCTGCCATCCTGGAGACGCTGTCCTCTCAGATCACAGAGAAGAAAGACGTAAGCACTCAGGACTCACAGCGCTGCAAGAGACAGAGAGAATGTGACAATCTGTTTCTAACCCAGTCTTGAGTCTGACTACAGCATCATTCAAGGAATGCTGGAATAACTGCTGATGCCTAACATGCATCGCTTACACTAATTACAACACGCTCCTGTACTCTACTCAGTCACATGACACCAGACTGACATCTGCCTAGGAGACTACAAACATACACACAAACTCCACTCTCTAACATACAGCTGATAATATAACATTTTTTTGGTGGATTTTTAAATAAATATTGCGTAAAATAAGTGTTCATTTCAAGTCAGCATTATTCTTCATTTTAATTGCTAGCATTAAACTGGATTATATATATATATATATTACCCATCGACCACTGTGCTATGTAGACCTACAAAAAATAAACAAACAAACATTGTACATTCACTGACAGCTACTGTGGTAAATATGATCACTATAGTACAACGGGTTTTATGCAGAGTTGTTAGAAAGATATCAATACAAAAAAGCACTGCACAGTGATTAATGATAGTAATGTCATGG